TGCCCACCCCCTGCCCAACCTCTCGGGACACACAATCACACTGCCACTGCTGCTGCACCCCCAGCCGCCGCGCCGAGGCCGGGGGGCCAGCGTCCCTGTAGGCCCACTCGTCCGGGGCGCGGCCCCGCCCCACCTACTCCACTCCGCCACACCCCACCCGAGCGGACTGACGTTTGAATAGAAAGAAAGGTTCCCAGCCACGCGCCTCGATCAAGGGAACCCCTCCCACTGCCATTCGACCCATTTTTCCTTTGCTGTCCGCATACTTTTTGATCCCTACGTACACTCCCTGAAACTTTCACTGAAACGAGTTTTTAATGTGCCACACTATGTTTTCTACCAGGTGGCGAACCGTTGCCAGCACATTAGCTTTGATATAACTTGGTTAAAATTACCAAAATGTTTGAGAGGCGGCCCATTTTGGTAGTAGTCAATTTGAACCCTATAGTAGCTCGTTTGAAGGTTCTTTTTAATAGAAACTGGTGGAAATGTCATCAAATTTTCAAGGTTATGCGTCTGAAAGAAAATATGCCATGTATTGGTAGATCAGTGATCATCAATGACTGCTGATACATCAGCATGTACATTGTACACTGTTCCGTTTTCAGAGCTGCTATAACTTTTGGCTGAGGCAACTTGTTTTCTATCTGCACTGGTTTTGTCCTGTCCCCTCCCCCCGTGACCCGTGCCCGTGACTCGGTTCCACACATCAGGTGGCTGAGCCCCGGCATTGCATAGTGCCCAACGAGTGCTGCACACCGTGCTATGCTCATGAACTGTCGCTAATATTAGAAGCTTAGCGCTCTCTCGGTATGCTCCGAAGCCGCTTCAAGTGCAAAGTATCCCCCCCCCCCCTCTCTCTCTCGACTCAGGCCCCTGGCTTCATGGTGCACTCAGCCTTAGAAACGACAGTATCGCATTAATGAAAACCATATCGCAAAGTAGAGCGGGGCGTTTTAAAGGAAGGAGTCTTTCCGGCCTCCCTCCTCTTCCATCCCCATCCCCTTCTCTCATCTGCTTTCTCCTCCCACAGCCTCTTTCGCCGACCGCTCAGGTCCGGAGCTCCCCCTACCAGCCCCTTCCCCCCGAACCAGGGTCCTTCGCACCGCTAAATATTCGCACAGTTAACCCAGTTAACCGCGCGCAAGTGACCCCCCGGCCCCAGAGTCGCTGCTCCGCTAATTTAGTCGGATAGGGTTAAAAAGTAAGCGGGCGCGTTATGGAAAAGTCACCGCCTGCGCCCGTCGCTACCGCAACCCTCCAAGGCCACCGAGGTAACCCAATCAGCAGGGCAGCGTGGTGCAGTGTCGCCGCAGACACACTTCTAAAATCATTAAAGTATGTTTCTACAAGTTTTTAAAAATAACGACAGAAGTACTACGCAGCCTCACACAGTAGCCCAGCCAAAAAAACAAACAAAAAAACATCGGTACATGGAGTCAGTGACATTTCTTTTACCGGTCCATTGCCCATGCGGATTGTGAGGAGACCGCTTCTCTTTTTTTTCGCGCGTGAAGGACTTCGCTTTGGTACTTGGCCAGGAGTCAACAACAGGAGGAGAGGCGGGCGGCCAGACAGCGTGACGCCGCGGCGCCCCACCCCGCCCCACCCCAGTACCCCGCCCGCCCCGCCCCGCCACGCCCCTGTTGCGCCGCCACGACGACGACAGTAAAAACGCTTAAGCGGCTCCAATCTGCGCGCAATAAGTCTCTGGGCTCTCCGCGACTCTCCGCGCTCGGGATGATAATGATGCTCTCCCGGGCACGGCACCGCGGCATCGTGTTCTTATGACCTCGCGCCTGGGAGAGCGACTGTCGAGAAATTCATTAAACGCGACGTGTGAGCGGTGGCCGCCGGCATGAGCGCTAACGACACGCGTTAACGCCGCCCTAAATCCTCGCCGGCGCCGCGCGGAGCAGCGCGTGACCTTGCCTCGCGCCCGGAGGCGGTCGCGTACGGCGCACTATACTGCCGCCGCAACCGCGCGTCCCTGCGCGAAATAAGAGCGCAGCCAGAGTTGAAAACTGCTATGATAAGAACTTGTCAGTGATTTTATTTTTATTGCTTTGAGTTTACACCCACGTAGGGCGGAATTTCTTTGCAATTACAAAGCAGCCACAGTCGATCGCAAGGTCTTTACAGCGTGTATTCAAAGTTATAAAAGAGCTTCTCACGGAATAGCAACAAGCAAGCAATCCGACCGCGCTCTACGGCAAGTCCTATAAAACCGCTCTGCTACAGTAAATATCTCCCGGCCCCGTCTTCACTTCATATTTCTGCTGCGAAGATACTTTTCTCGAGAAAATCAGATTATAATTTACCGTTTCTATAGCAGCTCGTCGCGCCACCGTCACCCAATTCTTTCTCTATTACTCTCCCCCTTCCCTGCTCTCCCTCTCTCCCAATCTCTTCCATCCTTCCTGCCTCGCGCGTTCCTCTTTCGGGGCTGCCGCAATTCCAGTCGAGCAGAAATGCAAAGGCATAAGCACAAAAACCGCATTGAACCCAGGCAAGCCGTTTGCCTGCAACAGGTTGGGCCGCTGCTGTCGCCTTTGTTACCCAATACTCCGACAATTACGAGCTCACGGCGTCGGCCTGGAAGTAACTGTAAGCGTCCGTAAGCGGGGCATACTAGGGTCGGCGCGGTCTGCTTGCAGAGCTCCTCCAAACTTTCTCATTCGAGATTTGCACACCTGTCAACGCTCTTCGAAAACTTTTCTGATTCGTCCTTTTCCCTCCTTCCGCCTCCTCGGCGGCGGCGCGCCGAGTTTCTTTCTGTCGGCACAATGCGTAAATCCTTGAAAAGTCTCCCCGCCTCTCTTCAATGGCGACGCCTCGTCAGAGGCGGGCGGTGCGGAGGAGGAGGAGGGGTGGGGGTCGAGGTCGAGGCGCGGTGAAAAGGAGACGCGGAAGCGATGAGAGGCCCGGTTCAGCTTCCGGTGCCGATATTCATCTACGGCAGAGCAGCCAGGGGAGCTAATTGTAAACGCCGCGCTGCTATTGGAGGGAAATGGAGGACAAGTATAAAAGCGGAAGGAGCGGCGTTGTGGAAAATATGTGTATAAGGTTTTTCGGGAAAACGTTTCGTGGATGTAATGTCGATAACTTGCGATTTAAAATTGGAAATTTGTAAAATTCTTAAGACATTCGATTGTTGACTTAGAATTTGATCGACTACTAAAAATAGCCGATCGGAATTATTGTACGGCACTTACTGAAAATTTAACATCATTTGTAAATTTCGTAAACTAAAAACCAACAACAAATATCTATTTAAATACATAAACAAGGGGTGCTTTTGACAGTAGAGGGATGGCGGAACTAAGGCAAGGCGATGGGGACGGAGTGGACCAGGGGCCAGGACAGTGTGGGACCTGCAAACACGATACCGTGGCCCTTTGTACCCCTCGGAAACAAAGGCAGCGGGCCATGACGGGCTCCGCGGACAGGCGGGCGGGCAGACGGGCGGGCAGCGCAGGCAGCCTGACTGCACGCGAGGCGGCGTCGCTAACTAAGGGGAAAGGGCAAAATGGAGCCGGCAGAAGGGCCAGAGGGGCTACACTGCAAAGCAGGGGGGGGATTTACTCCCCGCGGCGGAGTTGGTCTGGTGGGCGGGCTAGGCCCAGCCCCACCCCGCCTCGTTCTGCCAACGGCAGTCCGCTATTTTCGGCCGCGGTAGGAAAAACACCTCAAGTGGAACCCTGCCGGCCCCGACCACGGCCGAGCCTCTTCGCGTACTACATTCTCCACCACCAACGCAGCAGAGAAGTGGCTGGGGGCCAAAGGCTTCCGGCAAGAGGGCGGAGGGGGGTTGGCGAGAGCCGCTCGCAGCAATGGCCCCACGTATACGAGGGTTGCGGCACACGGGCCCGTGGCGGGGCGTGGGCGTGGCGTGGCGTTGAGTAGAACACGGACTGACCCAGCAGCTGGCCAGGCCGGGAGGGAAAGAGAGAGAGAGAGACGGAGGGAGGGGGAGCACGGGGAGCAGTGAGTGTGGCCGGGGCTCGGGGGGTCTTGGGTCCGTGTGGCACGGCGCTGCGGCGCCTGACGTTGAGAAGGGGGGAACTGAACGGACACTCGCCCTGACGTATGAGCGGGCTGACAACCCCATAACGACCAGCATGTGGTCGTGGAGAAAGGCACGCCGGGCGGCCGGGCGAGGCGTGAACAGGCCTTATTATTGCTGTCGTCCCCCCGTCCTTTCAAGAGTACACATTGGTATGAGCACTGGGCCTAATTGTAAGTTAGAACGTTCAATTATCACAAGCTAAATGCTCTTCAGCAAATTGTTTATTATAGGCTTCCACATAGTACGTTCGTAGGCGGCTTTTTCTAGCCGCGCCACTACAAGCCCAGAGAAAGAAGAAGAAGAAGTAGAAGAAGAAAACTTGGAGTGGCGGGCCGAAGCGGGGGCGTCCGTCCGAACCAGGCGGAACCTAATTGTTGGCAGCCGATGGGATTCCCCCTGCCCCCGAGTCCGCCCCCGCCTCTGCCCCCGCCTCTGCCCCCGCCCTCCCGATGGCCGATGGCCCGAACACGACACACCGAGTGGGCCTCCACCACGCCGCGCCGCAACGCCGTGCCACGCCACGTCAAACCGCTCCACTCCGTCAGGCCGACCAGCCTTTGTGGAGACAGAGCGTTATTGGACACACGGTGAAATTGAGTTTGGCACATTGGCTTTGGGCGGGCGAGGGCGCGGGCGAGGGCGCGGGTGGCCGTGTCACGGCGAGGCGCGGCCCGGCGTCGTGCAGGGAGTGTGACCGGCCGAGGGAGGCGGCACAGCAGCGGCGACCTTTCGTCGGGATCCTTCGCAAGAGGATGTTGCAAGAAATCAGATTCACGGATAATCGAGAACCGCAAGAAATTTGTAGAACAAAATCACCTCCTCTTTCATCACCTCCTCCCTATATCACTGCAGCCCGAAAGGCCCTAAAACCCTTATATTAGGATAACATTTCTTCTTCTAGACTTCTAGACGGATGAAGAGCAAAACTTACCTATGAGACCGTCAGCAGCCCAGGGTCACGCCGAGGTGAGTATCCAGGGTGAGTATCCTTTTGCTTCCTCTCTGCTCGCCTCACAACACACTAGTTTCACCGAAGCACTGATCCAACGTAATTGTAATAATATCCCATGGCGGTGAAGGTGGCGGATCTGCAACAAGAGAACAAAGGAGGCCGTTAAAACTACAACAGTACTCTCCATCGACAAAATGAAGACAAACAAAATAACACACGACCGGTGGCGGCTACGAAACACGAAACATATAGCTCCAGTTTTTTCTTTATGTAAAAAATAAAAACAAATGATGTGATCAGTGAAAAGCGGAGCGAGACATAGCAACGAGGTTCAGACTAGCTGACCTGTGTAGAAAAAATCTAGACTCGGCAGCAGGGGCCTCGCGTAACATTGTGTGATTCGGCCCTCCTGCGCCATGTGACTTTTACGGCCCGAAAGTAGACGTCGTCCTCGAGAGCAGCACGGAACAAGAGACGGGCGCGAAGGGG